AAGTGTGGATTTACTTCACCAATATTAGAACCAACAGCGGAGATGCATCATATACATCATATAATCTTTACTTCCCTACAGGTACTGTTTACTAACAAGGTGACAGCGCCAACTACTGGCCTGGCATACGTAATACAGCGTTTTTGGCCGTTTTCGCAGATATGTGTAAACGCGAATCGTTTTGAAAACGTTGTTGTGTATAAGTGAATCTTTTTAAAAACGCAAGGGAAAAACTTTTCCGTTTTTGACTACATCATTGTCGTGTAAACGTAGCCTTAGTCAGATTTTCGTGCTCTTTCAATCGCATAAATTGTGCGTTTACATTCCATCTATATCACGTATCACGAAACCCACAACAAACATCAAAAACAGCTCAGAATGCGGCGTCCTCCATTCACCAGTTGTTGACGTTTGTAAATGCCGCGAATAAAGACGTCACTATCGGCCGCTTCAGAGTTCCCGAGGCCGGTGCGAATGTAACCAGGAAAATGGCCTGAGGGAGAAATTGGTTTTTGGAACCACCCTGCTGGCTAGTTCCTAGAACTAAGTTCCTAGAACTACGCAATGTGAAAACGTCTAATGTTCTAAAATGGAACCATAAAGAACCAATAAAAAAAAACTTTATTTTTTAATAGTGTGTGAAGTCCACAAGGCAGTAGTGGCTGTAGAAATCACACATTTTTCTTCCACGGAAACGAAAGTCATAGTAAAATTACTTGGTAAAGGATCAGTGGCTATTAAACTTACATCATCAGTGAAGATAGCAAGCTTCCCGCTCTCCAACATGTCTTCCAGCTCCTCATTGGTAGTTGTTCTGCCAGCTGATTAAAGATATTTGAAGAACATGGTATCAGTTTGTGGCGAACCAGGTCATTTTGATGAGCATTGGAACTGGTAATATGTTTACTGATAAAACGTATATCTTGAATGCACTGTCACTTAACTTGTGTTTAAAAAGTAAATACACGTTCCAGTAATGTGGAGGCTGTTTCTCAGCTTGTGTTTGTGCGCGTGGGTTGCATGTGTCTCAGAACTCACTAATTTCCAGTTGTCTCTGAATGCGGTCCTTGCAGCGGTCCCTGTATTTGGACTGCGTGGTGTTGTACTCCGTCATCACCTCCACAAACTTGCGTGACAGCGTGGAATGCTGTGGGATGAAGGTAGACATGTAGAGGCGTCAGGGATGTGGAAGTGTAACTGTACATCGCGACGTGAAGGCGGCTCAGGATAATATACGGAGGGCCAAGTGTGATCGTCGTGAAATCGGGCCTTGCTTTTGCTGCAGTTTGAGAGATTACCGCACTTGTTCTGTTTCTGGACAGCAGATGGCGCTGAGGAGGGTGTTTGACAGAGCTGCTCAGTGGGAGGGCAGAGGTCACAGGAAGTGTGCCTGTCTCTGAAAACCCTGAAGGTCAGATTTGCTGCTATTTTGCTGAATATTGCTCGCTGATATAACTAGTTTATATAACATAAAAACTTCTACAGTTTTGAATATTTCGAGCACTTCCTATTATACATTATTCCCATATAAAAGACACATTGACACAACGCATGTTTTGAATTTCTTTAAAAAAATTTTTTTTATAAATGTATTAATTATTTTTTATTAATTTAATATTTCTTTAATTCTTATTATTTTATCATATTATTTTGATTGCTTAATATTAAACATTCTATTTATATATAATATTACTTTTTATATTTTAACGTTTTTATTTTTATTTTGCAATTTATTATTAAAATGTATGTATATGTATATATGCGTATATATATATATGTATATATGTGTATATATATATATATATATATATATATATATATATGTTAATATAATGTTATATATATGTTAATATAATGTTGCTTGACAAAGAAAAACTAAACTGACAAATAAATCGGTTCATCCTTGTCAAGTTCCTTAACTTGTTAGGGATATGTTGTAGTTTGTATTTTTCACATGACTTTAATTTGACTGAATAGACTATTGATTATCATTAGACGAATAAAAATACACTGGTGTTTTTAATTACTTTCATACCTGTGTCTTGCGGATCCGCAAATCTGCAGATGATCTGTTCAACCCCTCCTCTTGCTCGATACTTTGTTCGATTGCTGCAGAATAGAGAAATAAACTGAATGTAATTAATTGTTCTAGTAAAATGTGCTAAAGCCATAGCCTCCTGAACACACCCTATAGATGGACATTTCAAATAGCAGCTGTCTCACCCCGGTTACTGAGGTGGCACAGCAACTACAACACGATCAAATCCACCCATGACACTAAAGTAATTGGCGGACCGAGCTGTTACAATGGAAGTGCATACACACTAGGTGTCAGACAAAGTGGTCCCAGAGTAATAACAAGTCCCTTAATCTCAGAAGAACAATAGATCTCACTGTCCACTTCAGGAGACAATGGGATTCACACTCCATTCAGTTCTAATGGAGCCCTGCACACCATGTGTCACTGGCTACATCAGCGAGAGTGTGGATGAAGTTGCTATCATAAGGACAATCACTGTTGGTTACTTGCATGTAGAAATGAAAAAAAAAAAAAAAGCAAAACAAATCCCATTTATTTATTTATTTATTGTTTGTTTGTTAAATATTAGATGTATATTATATATGAATATAATCATTATTATTACATACTTAACAAATATAAATATAATAACAATTATTTACTAAATAATAGTAAACAAAATATATTATAAGAAACTGTATAACCCTAACCCCTCACCCTATATATATATTTAATAAATGTAATATATATATATATATATATATATATATAATATTATGTAACATAAAATGTTATATTTAATATATCATGAAAAAGAACAAATAAAATTAAATATGTAATAAGTGCATAAAATGCATTTATTATAAAAAATAGAAATATACAACCCTAACCCCTTACCCTATATGT